CTCACTCACAACAACAACTATACTCCTGAGTATCTGCAAGATGTCCATGATGGACAATATTAAAGCAAAGGAGGTAAGAATTCACGTCAATAAGATAAACAACATAAGTTACACGGTAGAATTACAAACATCTACACATATAGTAAGAAAGTTATTCTAGAAGGGACATTATAGAAAATTCCATGAGTGAATATTTTTCCGTGGAGTAAATTGTTAGGTTTGGAGTTAAACCTGTTAAAATCTCTTTTAGGGGATTAGTATAAGTCTCTAATAGGTTTGTGAGCTCCGCCACTTAAAAAAATATCTCTTTCTGGGTTAGTGAAGATAATCAATGAAAAATATTCATTTCGATTCTTTAGTTCAATCCTGTACAAAAGCTCAGTTGGTTCAAGATCAGTCTGATATAAAATTTCGATTCAGTTTATGGTTAGCCCAGTATAGAACCTCATTTCACTTTAGAGGATAGCCAATTCAAGACTCCAACTTGGTTCAAAATAATCTCGTTAAAAATCTATGTGTGGCTTATAGGTTGGCCGCTCGAAGCTCTATTTAGTGTTTGACATGAAGACTGACCACTTCAATTGTTGTTCGTTGTTTGGTTAGAAGTCAATCTGAAACTTCAGTTTCTTTGTGTGAGAGGGTTTGCGGGCTTAACCATCTAAAGTCTCTCAAGTAATGTTGGATACTCTCAAGATCAATTCTTGATGAGAGGAGTAGGTCACTTCATTAAGACTAAACCTATATAAATGTTTAGTGTTATTTGATCTTGTTGAATGCATAGTTGCACATATGCATTTATGGTAACAAGTACGCAACGAGATAAGCATGTGTACACTCAACTCATCCCATAGTGTTTTCATTTCTATGAGGTATTCAAGAAAAAAATTGGAACCTTGTTTTAGAGAGTTAAGTTGATATTTAAGTGTTGAAACTCGAACTCTATCAATCTTTAAAAATCTTCCTTTTAAGTTATCCTAAAATTTAATTACATTATCATGATATAAAATTGTTTGAGCAATAGATTCAGAAACAAAATTTATGATATGTTAAGATCATCATCATCATCTAGTATAGGTTTTGAGTGATAAACCATGAAAAGTTTTATCTTTGCACCAAGAGTTTTTCACATGGATCTGCTTCAACCAACATAATTGGTGTCGTCAAGTTTAAGGGTGACTATGACTGGATTCAGGCAATCACTTGAGTGAACATAATAAACAGAATTGAGTTGCGGTTGAATTGGGATCATATTTTCATTGTGAGGTGGTGTCATATGAACAGAGAATGGATGAACAATCAAGGAAATAGAATTGAATAAATCAGTTAAAATAATCAAAGAAGATAAAAAACTAAAGAACAACAAATTAGTTAAAATAAAGAACGAATCACAAAATCAAAAAAAAACTGAACGATTTACACAAGATAACAATAATATTTCAGTGATTGATTGATCTTGATGAAGCAATTGTAGTGTAATGCATGACTGAAAAAGAAGGACCGAAATTGATAGAAGAAGAAGATTCAAGGTGAAACTCCTTCGTGATGGCTCAGGATACCATAACATAAAATGTGGATAATTCTTCATTGAAGTGAAATAGAGATTACACTTTCTTATTTATATAACGATGAAGCACTATGATAACTAACCTAAGAGTGGTTAGGGGTGGCAAACGGGCATGTCCGCCCCATTTAGCCCCTTTCCGCAAAAGTCCGCAAAAAATGGGACGGGACGGGGCAAGCATAGTTGAATATGACGGTCTAAAATCTAGGTCCGTCCAACAAAAAAAAAAGAGTGTGGGACAGAGAAAGCCCGCGGACACTGCACATTTTAAGCCTAAAAATATAAAATTTTATGTTAATGTTTGTCCCTGCAAAAACCCGCAAAAAAAAATAGGACGGAACTAGACGGTCACATTAGAGAGTGATGATTTAAATTCTTAGTTTGCCCCAAACTAAAATGCGAGTAAAACAGACATTTTTTCACTCCCTAGGAGTGATAATATATAATAGTGTATCATCTAAATAACTACTTAACTACTATTTTCCATATTTAAAAAACTTTACTGTAGAGTAACCAAACTATGTATATAATAGGTGATATAAGCAAGTTAGTTAATACCTAACTAAATCGTGATTCTAGTTGATCATTGTTGTGTGATATGTCAAGTTAGAATTCTTAAAAATTAATATGAATTTCAAATTGACCATCACATTCATTTATTAAAATGGATTAAAAAACCATCGTGAATATGCGTTTGTTCTATTATTATAAATACAAAATAAATATTGAAAAACACATACTATCGAAAAGCATAAAAGTGTTACGTGACATTTTTTTACCTCATGAGTCCCTAACCCTTTTACTTTGGTGAGTTCTTCCATTTCCAACTCAATATTCAATGCAATTCATCATTTCTTAATTGATTAATTTTTTGTTTGTCGTTGAATCACTTTCATAGATAATGTATTACTTCTTGAATCTTGCATGAATGATATATTATGAATTCCATTCAATTTCATGAATGAGTTGTTTATCTGGGTTTCATCTGGATTTGTAAAATGTAAATTATCTTTGTATTATTTTATAATATAATGTAATCTTTTAAAATTCTCTTTTAGTGGACATGACTATGATTATTACATGCATACATAGATATCTAATATGTTTTTTGATTCTTGTATGTACATAAAATCAGTGAAAGTTACCCGTCTAAAAATGACGGACATAGAGTCTATAAAATTAATTGCTTGTCGGATCAACTTATAGACAAGATTCTCTCACATTTGCCAATTAAGGATGCAGGGAAAATTAGTGTTTTATCCCGCAAATGGGGGAAGAAATGATCCACACAACCAGATCTTGTGTTTGATAAACGAAGTGTATCTACTTTGGCTCTGGAAGACCTTTCAATTATACGACGCAAGTTTTTGAGGATGATTGATCATGTACTTTTACTTCACTCTGACCCAATTAACAAGTTCAAGCTTTCCAACTCCGATTCTAATAATATCATGGGTGTGAACTCTCTAGTTGATATTCATCGTTGGATTCTTCATCTAACCGGAAGGTCTATTAAAGAGATTGTGCTTAAAATTTGGATGGGGCAGCGCTATAAGATACATTCGTGCTTGTTCTCTTGTCAAAGTTTATGTCGTTTAAAATTATATTATTGTTGTCTTAAACCTCCAATGACTTTTGAAGGTTTTAGGAACTTGAGAGGTCTTGAGCTGGAATGGGTAACAGTGGCTCAAGATGCTTTTGAAAACTTGATATTCGGCTGCCCCTTGCTTGAAAAATTGAAATTGATAGAAATTGATGGTTTAACCCAGATTAATATTCATGCACCAAACCTCAAGATTTTTCACTTCTTTGGTAATTTTGAGGATATTAGCTTTGAAAACAGTTTTCAATTATCTAATGTAATGGTTATTTTAAATATTTATGTGCACTCTGAAAACAATCAACGCAGATTGTATGGATGCTCTAGCAATTTGCTCAAGCTTTTCGATTATCAATCTCACATTGAGAGGCTAGTGATTGGTGATTATTTTTTAAAGGTATAATGCCCACACTTTTAATGGTAGACTCACCTAATGCGTGTGTGACCCTTACAAATTTTACATGAACTACAATAAGGTCTATGCAATTATTGATATGTAAGTATTAACAACATGATATTTTGATTTAGTGATTGTTTGTCTGTTTTGTGTCAGTACTTGGCTGCAGGTGTTGTGCCAGTAAAGCTACCTACTCCTTATATGAATCTAACATATCTTGGCTTATTAATAAACTTCATTGATTCGAAGGAAATTTTGTTGTTCTTTGCTTGCTCAAAAGTTCACCAAATATTCGAGAATTCACAATGTTTGTGAGTACTCATTTAGTTTTTCTTGACTTTACTTTTATTTATGATTTGTGGTTACATATGTATTTTGGGATTTGCATACCTTGTTTTCTTTAAGCTTGTTAAGTGTCCTAGTCTATGAAGTTTGTTTCTAAAACCTGTACATACAAGTTACGATTTCTAATGGAAGTTGTGAAATAGATGCAATTTTTATAAAGTTAGTTACATAATTAGTGCATTAGAGTCCTATAACAGACAAGTGTGCATCATTTTCAGCTTTTATCAATCAATACAATAACTTTATCTTCAAATTTTAAATATGCTCTATATCTTCTATCCATACTATATTCCCCATTGATTCATGAATTTCTAACAATTGCATGTATGTAGGCGATAGAGAAGCAGCCTGGCCTTTTAACACCCGCTTCATACTGTTGTGAAGATATCTTTTCAGAGCCAGACATCCCCTCCGATTACTGTCGAATAAAAGGTAAGAGTTTAGTTTCATATGCATAAATTAACTATCAATGTTTTTAAATATGTACAACTTCTTTGTAAAAAAAAATACAATTAAAAGGGATAATGACACAGTTTATTGTTCGATTAACTATTATGTATCATCTTAATTATACTCATAAAAAAATACCTTTTCATAAATAAAAATTACCAAAATATTAAAATCAAATTAATCTAACACTAATACAAATAACTATTTAATATCATTGATAACATAAATATACTATTATTAAATTGAATGAATGAGTCTAACACTAATACTCCCTCCGGTTTCATTTATAAGAAAAAATTAACTTTTTAGATACATTAAATAAGTAATGTATTTGGACAATATATTGTCCAAATACATTACTTATTCAATGTATATAAAAAGTTAATTTTTTCTTATAAATGAGACAGCATAGTCCGTTAAGAAGCTTTGAAGTATGTACTGAATTATTGAAGAAGCATTTTGGTAAACAAAAATAATAGAAGTGTGATATGAGAAAGAGAAACATCACTATCAAAACTTATATTACAATTGTAATGCTACTCAAATCAATATATATTCCTATCCTCTCTAAAATGTGTTACCATGCATGCACACTACTACACTCTTCCCTCTAGTATGTGAATATTGAGGACACATTCAGAAAAGACTCAATCAGCATCTTTTACTTCAGCTTCAACATCAATTGCTCTACCAGAATCCTCGTCTGCGATAAAAGAAACAAGAGCACACAGCATAATCATCGAAGATGAAGGGATAATAAACAATAAAGAGACAAGGAAAGAGTAGCATTTAAACAAGCTTTGTGAACAAGGTTACCGTTTCTTGAACGTGAGAAATTGTCGAAAGCTTGTCCAAATGTTGTAGATTGTTTTGAAAAGTTCACAGATTCCTTTACAAACTCGTTGCCATCAACTGATATCAAAATAAAGTTCTTTAATAGTGAGAAATATGCACATTTTGATCTTTACATCAGAAACATAGCAAATGGGAAGATATCCATTCTTACCCGAAAAAGGTTGACCGCAAAAGGGGCACAACTGCAATTCCTCATTTAAAGTGGACCTGTAACAAATAATTCGATACTATAAAGTAAAGATGGCTAATTCGAATTACTTCAAAATAAATCATCTATAAGTAGCTTATTAGGATGTGTACAATAAAATTATCTTACTTGAAAACCTGAAAATCATTTCCACAGTTTGGACACTGCAGATACAATACAGACACAACAAAACCGAGTTAGTGAAGGTACAAATCACCTTAGAATAGAATACTTTTCATCTCCTCAATAGTCCAAATTATAAATAAAAAAAGAAGCTATTTCTGTGTGAAAGTTAGATATCTTTTGCACAACAACAGAGACTAATCTCTCGAGTCAAATAGAACCACAGAGGACAGCAAAGCTCGCTCTCAATAAAAAGGTTATTTGATATAGAATTGCTATACAATAATTTAATTTTATCCTTAAATTTTCGGTAAGAAATCAAATTGGAAAAAATGACTTCAAATTGAAACATGAAAGCATGTCAAAGCAATACATGAACCACCAGAAGTTAAAAAGTGTAAGTTGAAAGAGTGAAAAGTTTTAGAATTAAGTTCTGAAGAAGCCTCACTGTGCCTTTCATTATATCTCTTCCTGCCCACCAGAGGAAAGCACCAAGACCTACTATCGGGATCTGCATTCAAATAAAGAAAAACAAGAACAAAATTCAAATAACAGTTGGGTGATTAATTTACATGTGCTAATTTTAGAGGAAAAAATTTATTAAAAGACAAAATCAACTAAGGAACAAAAAGATAGTTCTTTGAAAATTTTAGAAAAAGACATTATAAACTAAGGGACAAGTGTGTACTTACAAATTTGGGTGATGTAAAAAACACATTGAGAAACTCATCAAAAATTTACTAACAATAATAATAGAGATACTTTAAGAGTCTATTAGGAGTTGGTTTTTGAAGGGTTTAGCACGGGAAAACTTTGAAGGGTTGCGTTTATATTTTTAAATGTGTTTGATATTTTAAAAAAGTTTGAAAAACAATATAATACATTAACATATAAAACCATCTTGTTTTTTAAAAAATTTTAAAATATTAAACACGTCAAAATATAGACACAGCCCTCCAAAGTCTTCCCCTCTAAAAACCAACTCGCAAACAGACCCTAAGTGAACAACTATCCGTGCATCATCCCTAGCTAGTATTTCATCTTCAACCCATCACGATGACGCACTTTAAAAGTCTCTTTTCTCCTTGATAACAAGAAAAACTAACAGATTTTAAGAAATGAAAATAGAAAACATTTCCACGACGGGGCCTAATTTACATTGAATGGGAAGAATTTACATCACCCAAATTTGTCATGAAAAAACATGACACAGTGATGGTGTTTACCTAGTGAAAACTGAAAAGGTAAAATGTCAAGTGAAAGTGGACAACAAGAGCTGATCCCCACCTCATTGACCTAGAGTTTGAGGTGGAAGACCATGTTTCAGCTGGTGTTTTTTCCCCCTCTGTTTACCTCCTATTAATCTATCTTGTAACAAAATGATAGCAAGGGAATGAACCTTAAAATTTGAGTAATACTCAATCCTACAAAACCAGGTTGTAAAAAGAAGAATGTCTTGCAGTTATAAAAATAATTGAAATAGTATAAAATGAACAATGTCAAAATCATACCCAAATGGAAACAATAGCATCCAAAATCCAGCCCAGTTGTCCAGTCATTGAGAGATAAGTTAACCCAATAGCCAAAGCAAGATTTCCCAAAATCCTAGCAGTCCCACCACCACCACCACCACCACCATTATTGAACCCAAACCGTTGATTATTTTTCACCAAAACCACTCTCTTTTTCTCTTCAAACAAAACCCCATTTTTAAACACTGTACTTTCCAAGAAGGAACCTCTCTCCCTGTATGCTCTCAACTTGAAGCTACCCAGATGAAAAGAAGTAAAGTTTGGGTAAAAATGAGAAAAAGAGGAAGTGGGTTGGGTCTTGTATACACCATTATGGAAGAAATTGAAGTTGAAATTGGGTTCCAGGTGTGAAAATTTGATTGAGAATTGTACAAGGGTGAACATGGGAAAAATGAAATCTTAGTGTAATGGTGATGATATTGTTCTGGTTGTTAAAGTATCAACTTACAATCACAAATTGAATTGTTCACTCTGTTTTTTTTGTTAAGTCACCCCTCCTTTATCTTCTTTGGTTTAGACTCCTATTATAAACTATTTAATTAAATAATTAAACTTTTATGATTCTAGGTTATGTGTGATTTATTTACCATTACTTTACTCTCATTTATTTGATATTTAATGAGTGTGTTACTATCACTTTTTTTTATTTAATTTTTTTAATTTATTTTAATCTCTAATTAATAGTTAATTTCTATTTTAATCTTTTATTTTATTTTATTCTAATTTTAATTTGGAAAAATCTACTATAATTCTTTGCTACAATAATTAAATTTATTAAATAAATTCTAACATAATATTAGGATTTGTCATCACATAAAATTATGTATAATGGTTTATATACTCAACTTCTTTCTTTTTCATTTTTTATATACTACATCATCTTCTCTTTCTTCCACCTAATAATTCAATATTCATTCAATTTTTATTCATTACAATGGTTTTGTTTAATAAAATTCAATACCCTACTTCATCACTTTTATTTTTATTTTTATTTTCTTTTATAATTTTGTTTTTATGAATTTATATTAATATCAATTATCTATTGAAATAAAATTAAAATAATTAAGAGTTAAATAATTTTTTTTCTAATTTAATAATTTATTTTAATTTTTTTCTAATTTTATATTCTTAATTTATTTAAGTTTTTTTTAATTTTATAGAGATAATCATTATTGAAACAAATAAAAATGGATAAAACAATAGTTTATTAGAGGTTAAATAGAAAAAATAGAGAGAAAAGGTGCATTTTTTTGTGTGTCCAAATGAAATGAACCAAATCTCTATTTATAGACCAAAAAAATGATGAATTTTGGTGAAAATAAAAATAAATAAAAAATTAATTTATTATAAAATAATTGATTCCAAATAATTAAGATGAATTAAAAATCTAAACAATCACAACAACGAATAAGATTTTGCAAAGATTATATGTGACATCACTTTCTTCTCCTTCAACATAACACCTCACTTTCAACCCTTTATTCAACACCTCATTGCACCTATTCAACTATTCGGCAATTTTTTCAACACCCCAATTGTACATAGTCGAATACCATTAGTAAATCTATTCCATTTTGACGGCTACAGTTAAAGTATTATATTATTCAATTTTGACGGCTATAGTTAATATACTATATTAGAACCAACGTATGGATGGCTACAATTAATATATTATATTATTCCATTTTCACGTTGTTTACCTTGGGTTTTGGTAAACAACCGCTGATCCTCCAAATGGTTACTTATTTGGTTACTCGCAGGATCGATCAGATTGATCCTATGGACATAGGTTGATTTTGAAGTTTGATTAAGGTGGATAAGGCTTTAAATAAAAGGTTTCAAGTAAATTGCATAAAGGAAAGGCTTGGTAAAATAAACAAGGCTTTAAAGTAAAGGTTCGACAGGAATTTAAAGGAGAAAAGCAAGTAAAATGCTGGAAAAGTAAATGACTTTAATTGATAAAATTGGTGTTTCACACATACATTTCTCAACAATTCTTTCGCTCACACTGGGTACTTGAATCTAAATGAGTGACTATGTATATAATTGTGAACACACGCGAGAAACTACATGTCTACTCCTATTTATACTAAAACATTCCAAGTAACCGTCGGGCAGTTACACTGCTTCGAGATCAAGCCACTTGGCACGTTCTCCATGCTCGACGCTCCAGATCCTTGCACGTTTGCACGTAGTAACTCCTGGAAACCGTTTTCCCTCCAAAGCTTTGAATTTCAAACTGCTCCACTCTGGACCATCGAACACTTTCATCAAGAGACGTCTTCGATGAAAACTCCTTCGACGTCGAAGGCAATCAGCCTTCTTCCTTGGAAGAAATCTTCTAAGTATTTTGCCATCTTTCGACGGGTATTTCGACAGGCTTAGCCAGTCGAAAGCATCTTTCAGCTTTTAATGGCTGACATCAATCAAAGCAAAGGTGTCGAATTTAGGAGCCAACAAATTGCCCCCCAAGAATGCCTTATTTCGACTCTGAAAGAAAAAGGCATTCTTTGAAAACGCCATTCGACACCTGTCTTTCCACGCTTTGTCACAAGTTAACTTGTGCACTTTTTGTTGCTTTTTACCAACTATTGGCAATCCCAAGAAACCATCATTGATTTGATCCTAGGACGTCACTTTCAGTACGGCGTGCAGTACCAAACGTCACTTCAGAATTTGTCATTATGACAAATCCCAAAAACGAGGACGCACGCTGCGTCTCTCTGTTTCTGCAGAAACGGCCAAAACAACAGGATGTTGCCACGCGTCCCACTAATTCCTGCAGCATTAAATGACATTTAATGTCCTCGTTATTGGAGATTTTTCCCACTACTATAAATAGTAGTGAATATCCCATTGTGGGACTTTTTACGCAAACTAGCCTTCAAACTTCCTTGCTTTCGTACAAGCTTGCTCTCTTTGCAGAAAATTTTTTCCTCTTTCACTTCATCTTCATCCTCAACAATGGCCTCTGCTTCTACTGCCCCCAAGGCTAACGCACCAACTGAACAACATGTTAAACCCAAGGTCTTTGTTACTGCTCCGGTAGTGAACTCTACAGGGAAACGAAGGGTTCCTGAACCTTCTGACATCTCCGTTCGCGATGCTTATTCGCGTCACTTGATGATCCCGGTTGGATACTCCAACCAGATCTTCGCAATGTCTGGCCCCATGAATCCAAGCATCTCTGAAGCTCTGAAGATCAAGAGCTACTTCCCCATCGTCGAGAAACTCAAGCCAGTAGCATGCGCCAAGAAGGACGCAGAAGACAACGAAGACCCTACACGCGAGAAAATCGACCTCCGCTTCTTCAACAGAAGTGTTAGGGTCTTCAGGTCTTGCCCTAATCTGACCTCCGATTATGTTGCTTGGCTAACAAAGTTGGAGAAACATCAAACTCCAGTCTGGAAGGAAATGGGAATCTTCGACCTAGTGATGCTGTCGAAGACAGGCTTAAACTACTCCCCAGAGATGCTTATAGCTTCGCTGTTGTTCTGGGATTACTCTCACTTCACTTTTCACCTTCCATGTGGGATGTTAACCCCCACACTCTTCGACGTAGCAGCTATTACTGGCCTTCGACCAACCGGAGATTACTTCGACCCGGAGGAGATGTCGGAGGACCAAATTGGCTTCTCTGAGACCAAGCCAACATACACCACCTTTATCAACCATTATCATGACAGGTCGACAGACGCGGTGTCGGATGTCGAACACATAGCGTTTCTAGCCTTATGGCTAACTCGCTTTGTGTTTTGCTCGAAGTCTCTACAAGTGACCAAAAAGATGGTCACTCTTGCCACCCAACTGCATCACCGCCAAAACATCTGTTTGGCAGAACTAATTCTGGCCAGTCTTTATGACTCGATCAGCAATGGGGTCACTCTTTTGAAACATATCGAAGATAGGGCCAGTTTGCTACTCGCTGGGCCTTTCTGGCTACTTCAACTGTGGCTCAACGCCACTTTCGAATCTTTCTTACCCAAGAAGATTCAGATAAATGAACAAGCCCCAGCGATAGCTAATAGACGTATCGAAGGAATTAGGCTGGCTCTGCTGACACCTGTGGAAGATGGGCTGGAGTTTCAACAAACCTTCACTAACTTCGTTCTGATGTTCGCTCGAAGGAAGGAATTTGTTTCAACTATGGCTCCATTTGCTCAACGGAGGGTGGGGCCAGCATGGTTCACAAGGCCACATCCAAAGGAATCGAGTGGTCCCAATGTCGATGAGCACACCGTACTTTGGGAGGCATTCCTGACACCCAGGATCATGCCTCTTCGATTTAAGAGTTCTAAGACTCATTTGAGTCTGCTTGCCTATCAACCAAATCTGGTATCTCGCCAGTTTGGTATCATCCAAACCCTGCCTTCTCCTATTTTTCAAAGAGAGAAGTCAATGTTGTACTTCTGCAACGATTATACAGAAGAAGCTGCCATCAAGCATATCGGAAGATATGATGGTCGAACAATCCTCTCGCTGTTTGATTACCAGCTTAATTTCCTTTGCTCACCATCTTTCGAGGAATGGTGGAGAAGCTATTATGTTGAGTACTTCTTCGACGAGAAGGACTTCATGGCAGAGTTGCAGAAGTCTTTTGTCCTTGTGTTGGACAAAGTAAAGAAATGTAAGTTCATGCTCTCACATTACTTTTTGTCTTTCTCTTCGACTGCTAGCCTGTTAACTTTTCTTTTCGCTTTCAGTTGTTCGAAAGCCTCTAGCCAAGAAGGCTACAGAAGGCCCACAAGGAGGAGGCCCTTCAACAAAACCTCCACCGTCGGCGAAGACTACAGCGCCGGCGAAGACCATAAGCAACCAACAGGGGGAAGGCTCTTCGAGGAAGCCTCCTGCATCGGTAACCAGATTTTCTTCATTTTTCTTCTGGCTTTCGATTTTTTGTTTTCGATGTAATTATTCAATCGAATTCCTATTGGTTTTCTAGGCCCCTTCGCCCAAGAAACGGGCAGCACTGGTGGTCGAATCAGGGAGTGATGACGAAAGTGATTCTCCTCCTGCCCCCTTAAAGAGGCGAAAGTTAACGAAGGATGCTTCTGTTCCTGCTCCTGCCCCTGAAGGTCGAACCGTCAGAATAAAGGTCGCTGTGAGAAAGCCTAGGCCACCTGCAGTGATCATCGAGGAGCCAACTGAGGAGGAACTGAACGCTCTTCTTACCAAGCCTGTCGAAAGTGACAATTCCAGCCCTGGGGCTGAAGTTAATCCACAGGTAATCTATTGGACCCTTTTTATAACTTAGGCATAGATACCAGTATTCGATTGTGTCTCTTTCGACATCTGAAGATTTGTCTTCTTTCTCTTTTTCAGGACACTACTGAAAGTTCTCCACCAAGGACTTCAGAAACTCTAGAATCTGCTGACCTTAGCAG